AAGGGCTCTGTTAGGATGATATGGAACAATCAGGTCTTTAAGATACGATGGAGCCTGATCATTAAGACTTTTATATGTTAGAAGCAGGATTTTAAATTGGATCCTTGATTTTACAGGAAGCCAATGGAGAGAAGCTTATACTGGAGAAATATGATCTTTTAATGGTTCCTGTCAAAACTCTGGCTGCAGCATTCTGTATAAGCTGAAGGTTTTTAAGAGAACTATTAGGACATCCTGATAACAAAGAATTACATTTTAGTAATTTTACATTTTAGTAATTAGTCCAGCCTAGAGGTTATAAATGCATGGACTAGTTTCTCAGCGTCACTCTGAGACAGGATGCTCCTCATTTTTGCAATATTACGAAGATGAAAGAAAGCTGTCCTACATGTTTGCTTCATGTGGAAGTTAAAGGACATATTCTGGTGTCAGAAGTCGCCGTTTCACCCTGCAGACAAGACTGAAGCAACGAGATGGCTAAGTTTCAATCTCCTGAGTCATTTGACTTCACCCAGCCCTCGGCGTGACCGACCTGGAGACAGCGCTTTTCGCGCTTTCAGATAGCAACTAAGCTGAAACCAGGAAGACGAGGATGTGCAAGTGAATACGCTGTTGTACGCAATGGGGAAAGAGTCCGAGCCCATTTTCAGCACGTTTATCTTTCCGGAGGATGTTCAGGGCTACTACAGGGAAGTTTTGAAAAAGTTTGATTTTATACCGAAGCAGAACACCATACATGAACGTGTCTGTTTCCATCGACGCTCACAGCTCTAAGGGGAGAGCGTGGAGGCGTTCAGAGAGCTTTATAAGCTTGCAGAGCACTGTGATTTTGGACCAGCCAAAGATGAACAGATAAGAGATCGTATTGTGATTGGCATCGCAGATGGGGACATGTCGCAAAAATTACAACTTGAATCGGACTTGACGTTAGAAAAATCCATCAGTATTGCACGGCAGTCTGAGCTAATCAAAGCACAAAATACCAGCGCCAGAGCAGCAAATGTCGAGGTGGGTGCTGTTAATGCACACAAGTACACGCAGTCCAGGCAGTACGACAAAAGATGTGCTAAAAACAAAGACAATGACCACAAGAATGTAACGCAACAGACTAAGAAAATGTGCACAAGATGTGGGAGACAGCATGAGTATGGTGCATGTCCAGCTACAAGTAAACACTGCAAAAAATGCAGTAAAACAGGGCATTTCGAAGTAATGTGCAAAACTAAAAATGTGAATGCACTCAGAGTTACTGATTGTGACAGTGATGAGGGCAGTCTCGGGGCTGTTGCTGATGGCGGGGAAGGTGATGAGGACAAATGGTATGAAGACCTTCAAATCATTGACACTACGGTTACATTCAGGATTGATACCGGCGCTGCCGTTACAGTGATTCCAGAGGAGACATATTCAAAACTGCAACAGCGCCCCCCTCCTGGTGAAGACAAATTCACCCTTCACAAGCCCAGGTGGAAAGCTGATGTGTAAAGGCAAGTTTATGACACACTGCAAAAGACACGGAGAGACTTTCCCATTTTAGATTTATGTCATGTCAAGTCCCTTCACAACAAATTTACTGGGCCAGAAAACTGCAATCAAAAGACCCATCTATGCATGACCTGCCCTCTAGTGGTAATGCACATATACTGTCCTGGCTAACAGCACAAAACCACCATTTATTCTTAACTTTATATGTACATTTACCAATTTTACATTGCCATCTACAACTTGTTCTATTTATATACTTGATATGATCATACCATTTTCTTTGTACTGTTTATACTGTATCATGCTGTGGACACCCATACCACTCATAATGCAATTTTACTGCTTCTTTTGCATTTATGATCAGATGCTAAACTGCATTTGCTTAATAAGTGTACTCTGTGTAATAACACTAAAACTTAATCTAACCTAGTCTCATTGAGGGCTGCAAGGTGGCACAAGAGTTGCTGAAGAATGTCGCTGGTTTGCATCCCGGTGGGGGCACCGGGATCTTTCTGCGTGCCATTTGCATGTTCTCCCCTTGCAGCGTGGGTTCTCTCCAGGTTCTCCGGCTGCCTCCCACAAGGTCCAAAAACATGTTGAGGTTAACTGGTGACTCTAAATTGTCCATAGGTGTGAATGTGAGTGTGCTTGGTTGTCTGTCTAAGTGTAGCCCTGCGATAGACTGGGACCTGTCCAGGGTGTCCCCTGCCTTCACCCTAAGTCAGCTGGGATAGGCTCCAGCCCCCCCGCGACCCTAGTGAGGATTAAGTGGTGTATAGATGATGGATGGATGGATGGATGGATGGAGAGTCTCAAAGAGAATCTTTGGATTTGTTTGGTTATCTCTGTATAATATTGTAGGTTCTTAACCGAACCCAGTAAGTTACTGACTTTAAATTGTTTTATATAATATTATAGGGTCTTTAACTTAATATTTGAGTTAGTCAGGCACTTTTAATTTTTTTAATATTTAAACTCAGAGACAAATTAGTGACATTGTGTTTACTTCTCTACTGGAAAGCACTTTGACTCAGTTGCTGTTTAAAACATACTGTATAAATAACAGTGACCTGACTACATCATAAGATCCTATCAACAAATCACACTGATGACCTCTGTGGTGATTAAAGAAGAAAGAAACAACACAAAGTCTTGATTGAAACAGCACAAACTGCAACCTAGCTTGACATGTTTTTTTTTACGTTTGTGGGTGTGTATCAGCTACAACCAGTAAAACTAATTGTGAGTTTCTTCATAACATAACACCTTTGCTGGGGCCCATCAGTCTTAAAGTCATTATTAAACAAGTTGTAAATGTTAATCTGTTTAAATACATTCATAATATTTCACAAAGCACTCATGGAGCTGCAGACAGTTGTTTAAAGTTTATTTACAATCAATATGGAGTTTAAAACAAGTTTAGCATTTCCAATAATGCATCAAGAAATAAATCACTGATGAGGAACAAACAGATGACAGATTAAATTCATGACAAATGGCCTGAAGTTACTTCGCTAACCCCAAATCCTGCTTCGTAGTACAGGTCCCCAGTCTAATCATCAAGGACTGCTGGCATATTACATCACAATTATTGCTGAAGCACACTCTGATGCAGCTTGAAAACTTTTAACCTGGTTAAATTATTTTTTTTGACAGATGTTTCAGGATGATGACTTTTCACCTGTGTCAGTTCTCATGTGGACTTTCAAAGTACCTTCTTGACTGAATTTTTTTCCGCAGGTTTTACAGGAATGACTGTTTCCCTTTTGTGGATTAATGTGTGTCGTTTATGTTTTGATGTGTTAGAAAATCTTTTTCCACATGTGTCACAAACGTATGGCTTCTCACCTGTGTGAATTCTCATGTGAAGCACCAAGTTATCCTGACGACAGAAACTTTTCCCACATATTCCACAAGAATATGGCTTTTCCTCTTTGTGGATTGCTGTGTGCCTTTTATATGCTGATGGGTCAGAAAATCTTTTTCCGCATGTGTTGCAAACATACGGCTTCTCACCTGTATGAGTTCTCATGTGGACTTTCAAACTACTTCCTTTACTGAAACTTTTTCTGCAGGTTTTACAAGAGTACGGCTTCTCACCTGTGTGAGTTCTCATGTGAAGCACCAACTTATCCTGACGACAGAAACTTTTCCCACATGTTCCACAAGAATATGGCTTTTCCTCTATGTGGATTGCATTGTGCCTTTTGTGTTTTGATGTGTCAGAAAATCTTTTTCCGCACGTGTCACAAACGTATGGCTGTTCCTCGTTCATCTGTGGAGGCTCTGGGTCTTCCTGGTACAGACTGATGCAGAGTTCCTCTTGTTCCTCTTTCACCTGCGGAGGCTCTGGGTCCTCCTGGTCCAGACTGGTGCAGAGTTCCTCCTGTTCCTCTTTCATCTGTGGAGGCTCCGGGTCCTCCTGGTCCAGACTGGTGCAGAGTTCCTCCTGTTCCTCTTTCATCTGTGGAAGCTCTGGGTCCTCCTGGTCCAGACTGGTGCGGAGTTCCTCCTGTTCCTCTTTAATCTGTAGATGGTCTGGATCCTTCTGGTGCAGACCAGAGTTCCTCTCCTGATCACGAAGCAGGTCAGCAGGAACCTCCTCCTTCTGATAGACATAGTGCAGTGGGAGTTCTGGGGACAAAGGGACACAAGAAAATGGTTACTGATGTGATGAAAGGCAAACACACATCTACCAGAGCAGGAACTTCAGGAAACAGCTAAAACGTTGCTCAGAGGCTGAGGTAGGGCCTGGTTTATCTTGTATGACAGGCTACCAATTTTACCAATAACTCAAAAAGGTCATCTTTGATATTATTCTATATTCATTGTATGTAAAGTAAAACATGTCATATTATTTGTTTGAACTTTGATTATTTTGGCTTAAAGCTTCTGAAAGTCAGAAATTCATCAATTATCTATACACCACTTAATCCTTACTCGGGTTGTGGGGGGCTGGAGCCTATCCCAGCCAACTCAGGGCGAAGGCAGGTGTTACGGCTACTTCAAAACTTTGGCTCGGAGCAGGTGACGAGAAATATATCGGATGCCGCGCCAGCAAGTGTTAAGCAAATCAAGGTTGATTTACAAATATTCAATACAAAACAAGAATCCGGACGCTGGTAGAAACAAACACAAAAACAGAGGAAAAGCCAGGCCAACCTCGCAGTGGACCGTCGAACCCGCAGCTTCTCCTCCAAACTGAGACAGGGTCAACGCTCTATCCTACTATTAAAAGAAAAACCCGCCAACAGTACCCATATCTCTGTCCTCCACTCCAAGAAGAGCAAACACTCAAGATATAACAAGGTGCAGATGCTGATGTGGCGGTGGATGCCCGACAGGCAGTCAGACCTGAGGGGCGCATGCCGGCCATGCGGACGAGAGCCAGAGAGCAGAGAGAGCACAGAGATCAGTACAACCAGCCAGAGAGCAACAGCCACCACATCTGATGCCACTCCTCCACTCTTTATAGTCAGGCCATCAGCACCGAATGAGCAGCAGGAAACAGGAGGGAGGGAGCATGCAACAGCAGGGGACACTCTGTACAGGTCGCCAGTCTATTGCAGACAACCAAGCACACTCACATTCACACCTCATCATGTTTTTAGACTGTGGGAGGAAACCAGGGAACCCAGAGAGAACCCACGCTGCAGAGGAAGAAAAAGCAAACTCCACGCAGGAAGATCCCAGGTGATCTTCTAGCTGCGAGACAACCGTGCTAAACGCTGCGCCACCTTGCTACGAGTAGGAAGTCCAGCGTTTTTTAAATAGTAGAATATTTCATTTCAAATGTTTGCAAACTACTATACAAACAGTATCAAGACCATGTATCTCTTCATCTAGTTCAGTACATG